CCACACACGGCCTACCCGATATCCTGGTTTCCGAAAATGGGCCCCAATTTACTGCCTTAGCCTTTGAACAATACCTAGCTGAACGGGGCATCCGAGATGCACTCACATCACCGGCTCATCCAGCGGCAAATGGTAGGGCTGAACGAATGATTCAGTTCACAAAGAAAACCCTACAGAAAATGGAACAAGGTAACATCCACGATAAAGTCACTAGAATGCTGCTTCTCCAGCACATCACACCTAACAGCACGACTAACAAGAGCCCAGCTGAACTCCTGATGGCCAGGAAACTCAGATCGCCTCTAGACCACTTGCACCCTGCCTACACCCCGGAAAAGCCCCTGGGTTCCAGCAGCAAGCATCACACCTTTAAGGTAGGAGACCTTGTATTTGCAAAAAAATTTTCTGGGGATCCCCTCTGGATTCCTGCTCAAATAACTCTAGTCACGGGTCCCCGCTCCTACCGTCTACTGACCACTGATGGCAGAGCATGGAAATGCCACATTGACCAGCTACGCTCCAGACTGACCAAAACTTCCATCCCTGACCCTAGCCTCGACACGAGGGGGGGAGGGGAAACCACGAGCCAGGAAATACAACCAACACCTGTTCCTTCAGAACTAACCCCAAGATCACCACACCATAGCTTACAATACTCACCAGCCGTAGTTGAACCTGGGAAGACGAACACTTCACCAAGAAGCAGCGACCAAGCAAGTTCAGTGAGCCCGGAAGACCATAGCGGTAGCAGCGAAGCTGAGGACTCAATCACTCCGAGGGCATCAGGAGAAAGTCCCAACTATGGCACCGGTTCACCGTTCCAGCTAGATCCAGTAAGCAGTCCATCTGAACCCGAATTTGAACACGGACAATTGGAATTACGTAAGTCGGGTAGACAGGTACTAAGACCTGCCTACCTGCGAGACTATATAACTCCACCCCTTAAACGGAACCGAGAGGGGAGGGGTGTTCTGGACTAGCAGGCTCGAAAGCCCGCAACTGTGATTGACCCGCGAATAGCAGATCGTGATTGGTCACCGCAGACTGATCCGATTGGCTAGTAAACAGGCAGCCGCGATTGGCCCAGCCAAGAGTGGCAAACTCAAATTGCCTTCATTGGCTGCCTAGCTGCAGCCAGCCGTATATAAGGGGGTGCTGTGGCTGGGATAGTTCGCTCAGATCTGAAGTCACTAATAAAGAGCTGTTGTTGTTATCTGAGTCTTGCCTCCGTTCTTGAACCATCCTCCCAGATCTAACAATATGCCATATGCTACATAAATAAATATGATAGAAGATGAGAAGTTCTATCACAACACAAACGTTTGTCAGGAGAACTGCAAATTGCAGTTACCCTTCAACCCCAGGAAAATCAGTTTCAGGAATTGCCTCTCTGCTTATTGAACACAAAATAATACACATTTAGGATGTTTACATTTCTCTTTAATAGTGTATATAACAGACATTTCACATTGCTTTGTTTATTTTTTTTCCCCTGGATGGGACTCTTGCTTTTAACTCTGCAATCTTTCACTTTTCCACGTGAACTGCATCACCCACATCAAATGTCTGGGGAGAGAAGGGCTTAAATGATACATATTGTGAGAGAGTAGAATATTTAGAATAGACTATTATTTATTGTGATTCAACACACAAGGAGTTTGTCTCCAGTGCATATGTTCTCAATATACATACAAGCAACACAGTAAGAAATCATAAATCATAAGATACAATCATAAGTCATAAGATACAACCAACAAGTGATAGTCATAAGATGCCAATGGCAGGAGCTAATGGAAAAAAATGAGAAGGATAATAGTACTGCAGTCCTACTACATGGGTAAATATCAGGGGTGAGATTCAAATAATTTAACAACCGGCTTGCCCAGGGTCAGATTGGCTGTCATGGGAGGCTTGGCCCATCCCCATCCTTCAGCTCTGCTGCACATGCAGGATGAGCCTTCCACGATGGCCAACCTGATCCTGGGCGAACCGGTTTTTAAATTGCCACCCTTTGTCAAAAGGCTGCTTCTGAGGGTGCTTGTCTGCACATTGCTTTCACAGCTGTCTCAGCCTTCTGGGTGTGGCTCCTTTAAGAGGCAAGGGAGGGGATTATCATAGAGACAAGAAGTTGATGTTCCCGAGAGCTCACATAGGAAGGCGAAGAATTGGGGGGAAGTGGAGGGAGAGATTCCTCCCTCAAGGTAGAGTTGTGTAGGGGGTATTGGTCAGTCTGCCAGCAAAAGTGAAAGGGGCAAGGGATTAAGTTGGCAGCATGATCCAAGCTGGGCCCAATGTAGGGAGACTGCAGGGTTAGTTTGACCAGACAAATAATTACACACACCCTGCTATCAAAAGTGGATCCTGGGCACTGTGCTGTGCTGCAATGGAGAAATGGCTGGCACAAGGAAAGAAGGAGGAGCAGGGAGAAGAAAGGGAAAGTGATCTTCTCCTTACCTTGCCCTTAGTTGCATATTTCTCCATTGCAGTGCAGCGCAGCACCCAGGATCCACTTTAATAGTCTTGGGTGAATAATTTAACAACTGGTTCATCTGAACCAATGCAAACCAACTGAATCCCACCACCAGTAAATATTCTTACAGGTATAAGACAGTGCTGAGGGAATTATGTGTTTAGCAGAGTGATGGTACAGGGAGAAAAAAAAAACTATCTTTGTGTCTAGTTGTTTTGGCTGCAAGTCCTATGGTGGTGCCCTGAGGGTGGAGTTAAAAACAGTTTATGTCCAGGATGTGAGGAGTCTTTAGATATTTTCTCAGCCCTCTTTCTGGCTCGTGCAATATACAAGTTCTCAATAACCATAGCATTTAAAATTACATTTTTTGTTTTTTTGTTTTTCCAAATTTTGTTCTATTATACTTTACTAATTTATTTGATTCTTTTTGTTAGTTCTTATTATTTTTATATTTTTGTTTTAAATATGATTTTACATTGTGTAAGCCTTGAGTCACCATGGGTGACTATAAATCAAATAAATATATACCGCTTCATGGTGCATTTATAGCCCTCTTTAAGCAGTTTACAGAGTCAGCACATTGCCCCCAACAATCTGGGTCCTCATTTTACCAATCTCAGAAAGATGAATGGCTGAGTCAACCTTGAGGCAGTCAGAATCAAACTATTGGCAGTTGGCAGACTTATCCTGCAAGACTACATTCTAACCACTGCACCACCACAGCTCTTCAATGGAAAGGCAAGCTGGTTGCAATTGTTTTTTTCTGCAGTCCTAACTATCCATTGAAGAACTTTGTCCCTGTCCTGTTTGATTGCTGCACCAAACCAGACAGTTGTAGAAGTACAAATGACAGAGTCAATAATTCCTCTGTATCATCAGATCCTTGGTCACTCTGAGCTTTCACTGGTACAAAACCATAGATGCAAAACCTAAGATTCTTCCAGGCTTGGAAAAGCATTACAAGGTTCTTTAGGTCTTTCACAAGCATTTTGCTGCTATTTATGTTTTTTTATAGGCTTCTGCAAGCCTTAGAAAAGAACCGTGGTTGCTTTAGAAGTGGGTTTATTAAAGGTCATGAAATTTTTCAAGCAGATTTATCTTTTTTTCCCCTTAGCTTTATATAGAAAATGAAAATAGAGGGGCTGGTTAAATTAGTAGCAGATAAACTGGCTTGATAAGGAGCCAAGGGTATGAAACTCTTCTTCTGAGTCATTCTTGAGGTCTGCCCAGTCTTTTGCATATCACAAATAGTAGAAAATTCTGACAGAAAATAAAAGGAGAAAAAAAATGTCCTGCTAGCAATGATCGTGATCTGACTAGTACTTCTCAAAATAAAGATTGCTGATGAGTCAGAAAGTAAATTCAAGCATTTCCCAATCTGGCTCCTTTTTAATTGTGTAAACTTTTCTATTTGGATGCATGTTTATTGTTTATTAACAACCAGGGTTTTTTTTTCAAAGTCTGAACATTTTTTAAAAAGAAAACTCTAAACCAATCTGCAAGTTTTATCATTTCCAAAGCAAGGAGATGTTTTGCCTATGCTCATTTTGTTACTACAATGAGATGAGTAATTTGGTCATTAAGTGAAGCAGTGGCTAGGTGAAACTATAACTGTTGTTCATGATGTAACTTCAGCTTTCCTTTGTTCGATAGACCTGCAAAAGTCTGTAAAAATTGTTGCTAAATGGGAAAAATGGCTAAACTATTAATACCATTCTTAAAGCCTTAGTAAGACTACACCTAGAATACTGCATTCAGTTTTGGTCACCACACTATAAACAAGATGTTGAGACTATAGAAAAAGTGCAGAGAAGAGCAATAAAGATGATTAGGGATCTGGAAGCTAAAACATATGAAGAATAGTTACAGGAACTGGGCATGACTAGTCTAGTGAAGAGAAGGACCAGGGGAGACATGATAGCAGTCTTCCAATATTTGAGGGGCTGCCACAGAGAGGAAGGGGTAAAGCTATTTTTCAAAGTACCCAAAGGCCAGACAAGGAATAAGGGATGGAAACTGAACAAGGAGAGATTCAACCTGGAAATAAGGAGAAACTTTTCTGACTGTGAGAACAACCAACCAATTAGAAGTTGTGAGAAGTTCATCACTGGAAGCTTTCAAGAAGAGACTGGACTGCCATTTGTCAGAAATGGTGTAGGGTCTCCTGCTTGAGCAGGGGGTTGGACTAAAAGACCTATGAGGCCCCTTCCAATTCTGTTAATCTATTGCCATGCAAATTTCCTGAATAATGCATGAAGTTTCCCAAAATGTCTTTATAAATTTATAAGATTTATAAGGCCACCCAATTCAAGCAGTGCAACAGGGATCACCCTATTAAGCAAGCAAATAGTAAGCCTTCAGGCACCAACCCTCCAATCAAATATCAACACTATATATATATAGTTGGATTGGATCTCAGCCTGGGTTTTGAACCTGGCTTTGAGGTTGTCTCCCCTTTTGCTAATTCAACCATCTGTCACCCAGACCTGTCTAATTTTGATGTATTTAATTGCTTTGTGTTTAATTGCAGATCCTCTAACTCAACCCACACTTTCTGTGCAGCCTGAGTACCAGGAATATTATGAAGGAGAGAAAATCAGGTTGATCTGCTCAACTTTTCATAACCTGACCATGCTGCGAAACTTGATGGTGGAAGGTTACCGATTCTTCCAAGAAGATGGGCAGAGGATCCATCAAGTGGCTGTTAACGCTTACAGAGATGGCATGATGGATTTTCAGGCACAAAGGAATGACACCGGAAATTACAGATGTGCTTATTGGCTGAAAAAAGCAGGCAGGGAAGTTCAGTCAGACCAAAGCCACCCCATCAGCATCCAAGTGAATGGTAGATCATATTTATAATCCTATAGAGCACAGGGAAGTCTCTGTGGAGTCAACTCTCCTATTTCCACAAAATCAGATAAAACATTTAAGAAGCTATAACAAGGGTCTTCAAACTTGGCAAGTTTAAGACTTGGGAACTTCAACTCTCAGAATTCCTGAGCTAACATGACTGGAGGAGGAATTCTGAGAGTTGAAGTCCACAAGTCTTAAAGGTGTCAAATTCAAAGACCCCTGAGCTATAGCATTATGTTCCCTGTTGTAGTCCAGGAAATGATTGTCTATCTGTCTGTCTGTTTGTCTGTCTGTCTGTCTCTCTCTCTCTCTCTCTCTCTCCATATATTATATCATATCATATCATTTATATCATATGTATCTATCTCCATATATCATATCGTATTGTATTATATATCATATCATATCTATCATCTATCTATCATTCATCTATCTATCTATCTATCTATCTATCTATCTATCTATCTATCTATCTATCTTTCCATCTATTTATCTGCTTCTTCTTCATCATCATCATCATCTATTTGATGTATATCCTGCCTTTATTATGTTTACAAATAACTCAAGGCAGCAAACATAACCAACTCCTATTATTCCCACAACAGCAACCCTGCTGAGAAAGAGAATGACTGGCTCTAAGTCACATAGCCAGCTTAGCTTTATTCCTTTATTTTGGTTTTATTTCCTAAACCCCTGTTTCCCAAAAGACATAGAATGGGTTTTGACTCTGAACCAACCTTGCACCCTCAAAATTCCTTCATTTTGGTTTTATTTGCTAGGCACACAAATATACTTTTCAGCAAGACACTGGGTCATAAACGTTGGCACCATAGAGAGGCAGACAGTGAGATGGAAAGAGACAGAAGAGAAAGAAAGAGAGAGGGAGGGAGAGAGAGGCTCAGCAAAGACTGAATGTTAATTATGTAATTCTAGAAAAGTATGTTCTGATTGAATGACCTAACAGTAAGAATAGTTAGAGGTAGAGTCAATGACCAGAAAGGTGTTAGGCTCTCCTCTTGAAAGAAGACAAAGATACATCTCCTAGGACAATGTTGCAGGATCCAATCTGGGTCAGTTACCAGGACCAGAAGTTTAGACTTCCAAGCTTTTGGGATTATGCTGGAGCCCATCCTCAGGGAACTTCTCTGTCACCAGAATGTCTGGTGGGCTCCAGCAATAGTCTGAAAGCTCAGAAGACTAAACTTCTCATCCTGGTGACTGACCTAGATTGGATCCTACAGGCTCTCTTCTCCTTGAGTGTTCTCAAGTAGAGGTTGTCTAGGATATTTTAATCTGGGTTTCTGCACTGAGCAGTAGGTTAGGTAATAGGTTGGGCTTGGACTGCCATTTGTCAGAAATGGTGTAGAGTCTCCTGCTTGGGCAGGGAGTAGGGTTAGTTCATGGGTTTGCAATCTTCAACACTCAAAGAACCATTTGGATCTGTTTCCCACAGAAAAGAAAATACTGGGAGCCTCAAAACCTGAGTGGGGGTGGCCAACTCAACATCACTTCCGTCCAGTCACATGACAACCCCCTGGCCACACTTACTCAGGTTTGGGGCTCCCGGTGTTTTCTGTGAGAAATGGGTCTCTCTCCCTCTCCCTCACTCCCCCCCCCTCTGTCCGCCTCCCTCTTTCCCTCCATCTCATTTCTTTTTTGTGTGTGTTTTACTTTCTCAGGCCAGGTGAAGAGTGACTGGGAGGGAAGGGTGAGGGGCAGGACCAGCCAGCGGTGGGATCACCCAACAGGGAACCACAGCAGGGGGCCCAAAGAGCCATATGTGGCTCCAGAGCTGCAAGTTGCTGACACTGGGCTAGTTGGACTTTCTAAATCGTTAATCTGTTAATTTATCTAAAGGTATTTGTTTTACACGTTTGCTTGCTTGTTTGATCTATCTATCTATCTATCTATCTATCTATCTATCTATCTATCTATCTATCTATCTATCTATCTATCTATTATTCAGCTAGCATCTCCCAATCAAGTGTACAGCCTAATAACTCCTTGTGGCCTCTCTCCAAGGACTAAATATGCAATCTTGCTGAGCTTCTAAAAAATCAGCCTGGGGTTCTAGACATAAAGCTGTAGAAGGAACTTGGGGCTGTTGCATCATTTGCTGCAACAACATTGAAGAGAAGTGGCTGAGGGTGAAAATTGGAGCAAAGAAGTGACTGACTTCTTTCTAAAGCCTGACAGTAAGTTTATCTAACAGTTTAGCTTTTCAAAAGGGAAGTTTCCCAGTACAGTTTGCAAAATGGTAAAAGCATAACCTCTTTTTTTAAAAAAAAAACCAACTCAAAACCAAGAAAGACTGAATTGGTCCCAAATTTTAAAGAAGAACATAGCTAACAGCAACAAATTGATTAAACAACTTTGCTACAGCTATACCTTTAAAATGATAAACAAGTTCATTTAATAAAAGCCTTGGGCAAAAAATATTTAAAGTCCCTTACTCTTTGTATAAATTTTATCTAGTTTAGAAATAGAATAACGAGTTGGAAGGGACCTTGGAGGTCTTCTAGTCCAACCCCATTTAAGGCAAGAAACCTTACACCACTTCAGACAAATGGTTATCCAACTCACTTCCAATGTTGGAAAATTTACAACTCCTGGAGGCAACTTGTTCCACTGATCAATTGTTCTAACTGTCAGAAAATTTCTTTTTAGTTCTAAGTTGTTTCTCTCCTTGATTAGTTTCCACCCATTGCTTCTTCTCCTGCCTTCTGGTGCTATGGAGACTCCCTCTTCTTTGGGGAAGGCCCTGAGATATTGGAACACTGCTATTAAGTCACCCCCAGTCTTTCTTTTCATCAGAGTAGACATACCCAATTCCAGAAACCGTTCTTTATATGTTTTAGCCTCCAGTCCCCTAATCATCTTTGTTGCTCTTCTCTGCACTCTTTCTAGAGTCTTGACATCTTTTTTACATTGTGGTGACCAAAACTGGATGCAGTATTCCAAGTGTGGTCTCACCAATGCATTATAAAGTGGTATTAACACTTCATGTGATCTTGATTCTATCCCTCTGTTTATGCAGCCTAAAACTGTGTTGGCCTTTTTGGCAGCTGCAGCACACAGCTGGCTCATATTTAAATGGCTGTCCACTAGGACTCCAAGATCTCTCTCTCAGTTATTATTATTGATCAGGGTTTCACATACCACTGTGTCTATGCATTTTGTTTTTCTTGCCTAAACGTAGAACCTTACTTTTTTCTCCATTGAATTTCATTTTGTTAGATAGTGCCCAATATTCAAGTCTGTCAAGATCCTCCTGTATCTTAAGTCTATCTTCTGAGTGCAATACTGTTGGCTATTCCTGCTAGCTTGGTTTTGTCTGCAAATTTGATGACTTCCCCATCTATCCCCTCATCCAAATCATTGGTGAAGAAGTTGAAGAGTACAGAACCTTGGGGTACCCCAGTGAATTTTTCCCTCCATTTAGATGCAGTTCCATTGAAGACTACATGTTGAGTGCAGTTGATCAGCCAGTTACAAATCCATCTGGTGGTGATGCTGTCTAACCCATATTTTTCTATTTTATTTAGTAGTAGTTATAGCCTGCTTTATCAAATGCCTTACTGAAGTCCAAATAAATTATATCAACAGCATTCCTCTGGTCCACTAATTTGTTACTTTGTCTAAGAAAGCAATAAAATTAGTCTGCCATGATCTGTTTTTGACAAACCCGTGTTGGCTTTTGGTTATTACTTTGTTTGCTTCTAGGTGTGATTCGCTGCTTGGTTATTTTTCCCAGAATCTTCCCTGGTATTGAGGTCAGGCTGATAGGCCTGTAATTTCCTGGATCTATTTTTTTCCTTTTTTGAATATGGGAACTACATCACTCTTGTCCAGTCTTCTGAAAGTTCCCAGGTGCTCCAAGATTTTTAAAAGATATAGTTTAGTGCTTCTGAGAACTTATCTGCAGATGGATTACACCTTGTCTAGGGTAGACAGGTGCTTACTTACCATTTTATTCCCTATTTTAACTTGTGTTCTTAATCTGTTTTTTCTGGTGATGTTTTTGATAGGTTGGACTATTTTTTTTCTCTATTGCTTGTCACCTTCTTGCCACTTTCTCCCAGCAATGGACCTATTGATTCCCTGACTTTTTTCTTGTTTTTAATATGTTGGAAGAAGCTTTTTTGTTATTTTTTACTTTTATTGCAAGCCTTTGTTCATTGTGAGCCTTAGCTTTCCTTACTTCATCTTTGCAGGCTCAGGTTATTTGCTGATATTCTGCCTTAATTATGTGCCACCCCTTTCCACTTTTTATACTTGTCCTTTTTGTTTTTCAACTTGTCAGAGAGTTCTTTATGCAGCCATGCTGGTTTCTTTTGAGAGTTTATTTTTCTTCTTCATTGGTATTGTGCTAGACTGGGCTTTTATAATCTCACTTTTCAAAATTTCCCAGGCTTCTTGAGTTGTTTTCCCCTTGAGAATTCTCATCCATCCACCTCTAATAATCCTTCCCAAGCTCTTTCTACGTTTATGGGAATTAGCTCTCTTAAAGTCCAAGATTCTAGTTTGACTTTGTTCTACTGCTTGTGCTTGCATAATGTTGAATTCCAATATTGCATGAACACTCCCTCCAAGGTTCCTGTAGCTTCAACACCTTCTATCATTTCATCTCTGTTAGTGAGAATTAAGTCCAATATGGCTGATCCCCCTTGTTCTCTTCTCTACTTTTTGGGAAACAAAGTTGTTTGTTAGGTTTGTCAGGAACCTGTTGTATCTTCCACTTGGTGCAGAGTTTGTCTCCCAGTGTATGTCAGGGTAATTAAAATCCCCTATTACTATTGTGATGTGCTTCCTACATACCTTGGTTAACTAGCTAGCAAAAAGTTCACCTATTTTCTCGGTTTGGAGGATATAGATGAACTTTGTTAGGTGCCCTATAGTATACACCTAGGCAATATCATTCCCTTTCATATTGACCCAAATGCATTCAAGCCAATTTTTATCATTGTTGTGCTCTATTTCTGCAGAGATGTAGTTATTTCTTATATATAGTACAACTCCACCTTCTCTTTTATTTGGTCTATTTCTTTTAAATAATTTAAATCCCACTAGCTGCATGCTCTATTTGTGGGTTTCATCCCACCAAGTCTCCGTAATGGCAACAATATCATGTCTGCTGTCATTTACTTGAATTTCTAATTCACTCTGTTTATTCCTCATACTCTGTGCATTGGTATATAGACATTTGAGTTCATTTTGACTGATCCTGTGTTGACTGTCTATATAACTTGTGTTGTGCCTGACTTCTTCTACTTTCTTACCACCCATTTGATTAGTGTACATGGTATGGCACTTTCTATTAAATGCTTGGCTTTTCTTGACAGCAAGGTTGATAACCTTACCCGCACAAATTCTATATTTCTATATTACTGCAGAGAAATACTGCAGAGAATATATAATGAGTGTGTGCATGTGTAAATTAAAATACAAATAAAATAAAGTTAATAAAGTTAATGGAAAAAGGGAAAGAGAAAGGGAGAAATAAATGAAGTGAGGGAGGAAAAAAGAAAGAAAAAGCAGTGGCATACAACTTCTCTTGGTACAGAAATTTTTTAAAAAATCTAGAATTCTGACATCAGTGAGAATTTTATGCAAAAAGTCTGACTTTTTTGTATTTAGTTGAAAGGAGGGCACCAGTCAACCAAAGGGGAAAAAAGAGAATCTGGCTATGGGGAACTTCTGAGTGATAAGTTTCTATATTAGCAAATAGCTTACTGGTTAAAGAAACTAAAAATCTATCTGTTTGTCGGTGTCTCTGTCTGTCTGTCTCTCTCTTTCTATGTGTGTGTGTGCACTCGTATATGTGTGTTTGTCTGTCTCTGTGTGTGAGAGAAAAAAACTATATTGTGAAAGATATAGATGTAGCACATTTTAGCCACCAGATGGCAGCAAAATGTAGCACATTTTAGCCACCAAATGGCAGCAAAATACAGCAAAATATTTATGGCACACTGACTTATCCCCCCCCCCCCCCTTACTAAACTACTGTTTACTAATCATCCTCCCAATTGTCCTTTCTTGCTAGTCATTCTTTCTCATTTTTTTTAATCTGAGGAATGGTAACCTGGTTGAGATTAGGACTTGGAAGGAAAACACCAATTAATCCTGCAGCTGGGAAGAGAGAAGATATTGATGATAGATGAAAGAGAGAGCGGAGGGAGAGAAGAGGAGAGAGAGAGAGAGAGATGATAGAGAGAAATTTTATTGGAAGGAAAGGAAAAAAGGAAAGGAGAGGAGAGAGGAGAGGAGAGGATAGCAGGGCTGGCAGGCAAGCAGGCAGGCAGGCAGGCAAGAAGGAAGGAAGGAAGGAAGGAAGGAAGGAAGGAAGGAAGGAAGGAAGGAAGGAAGGAAGGAAGGAAGGAAGGAGATATTCTCTAACAGCTATCTCAAAGGATTGTCCTTCTTTCATATGAAGGCAACTACTGAAAAGAGTTTCCATGGCGTTGGTTACAACAACTGGCTGAAAGATTATTTGAATACAATCAAGTCTATTTAATCATAGCATGTTTCATGCATCTGCCTTTGTTTTTGTGCGTGTCAATTCATGTTTGAGGAGGCAGGTAGATTAGCAAATGTAAGATTAGAGAGAAGGTAAATGAAATTGCGGCAGGCAGTGATAATTGCTCATAGTTCTCACTCACAAAAGCCACTGCTATGTTTTTTGTAACAATGCCATGCTTGCTGTGGTGTCATTAGCTCTGCCTTTATGATAAGAAATGTCCCTTCAAGGGAATGTTTAAGATATGACAACAACAATTCCTTGTTGATTTGATCACAAGGGATTAATCTGACTTCTTTACGAGAACTGCCATGACAGTGAATTCTAAGAGGGTTTCTGAAGGAATAATATACCCAGGTCAAATAATTGGTATTATGTCTGATACTGAGACTAAAAATAGGTGTCTCATTCCTTCCTCTCACAAAGGAAAATATATAGCAGTGTTCCAAAATTTGAGGAGACTCTACAAAGCAGTAATGGAATTCAGATGTTTTTGCTACCGGTTCCGTGGTCGTGGCTTGGTGGGCATGGCAGGGGAAGGATACTCCAGTCAGAGGTGGCATTCCACTACCGGTTCTCCAGAACTGGTCAGAACCTGCTGAATACCACCTCTGCTACAAAGACAAGGATTTCAAACTGTTTTCTAAAAGCAGCAGAACGCAGGACAAGAAATAATGTATGGAAATTAACCAAAAAGGGAAGCAACCTAGAACTAAAATGAAATTTCCTGGCAGGGAGAACAATTAATCGGTGGAATGGCTTGTCTCCAGAAGTTATGTTCCATCATTGTATGTTTCTAAAAAGGGACCAGAGAGTTGATCTCCTGCTTGAACTGAGGGTTGGACTAGAAGAACTCCAAGGTCTCTTCCAACTCTATTATTCTATTTTCTGTGTTCATTATTTGCCATTGAGGAGAAACTGAAAAGCGAGCAAAAGGAAGACATTCCAGTGCTGAAAACATGTCTTTCTTTTTCAGCGGCCCCATCAGCTCCATCTCTGAATTACATTATTTTTGACCGTGGAAACTCTGTCAGCCTAGAATGCTTACCTCCACGAGAAGCTAATAAAGTCGGGCAGTTTCGCTTTGTTACAGATGAAATGGTTGTCTCAATCCTGGCTACCATCAACAGCACCTACACATACAATCTAACTAATGTGAAACACAAGAACGTAGGAATTGTCAGATGTGCTTATGTTCAATACCTCCATGGAAGAAAGGTACTTTCCAGGATCAGCGATCCAATTTTCGTCGACATGCGAGGTAATGTTGCTTCTTCAGGTTCCCATGTTCATTTTTTCCTCCAACATTCCAACAATATTTATGGAGATTCTTGGGCATCCAGATCATGATTGTCCCAAAGGTGCTTATTTCTAGAGGCAACTGGACTTCCTTGATTTTTCTTTGAAGACGTTTCACTTCTCATCCAAGAAGCTTCTTCAACCAAAGAACCTTCTTGGTTGAGAAGGAAAACATCTTCAAGGAAAAATCAAGGAAGTCCAGTTGCCTCTTGAAAAAACATCTTTAAGACATGTTATTGAAGAGCTGGCTCAGAAAGAAGTTGTAGGAGAAGATCATAGATTGCCGTGAGGTCAAAAATGATAAGAGAAACCACAGAGCTTAACAAAGCTGCTTTTTGAATGATGATTAAGCACTCTTTGGTAGAAAAGCCAAGAATAACCAGCCTAATCTGATTCTGAATAAGTATACTTGCCTGTTGATTAAAAGAAGCAAGGGATGTGGTAAGTTTGTGTTAAAAACACTATCAGCATTTCTTTTCTCTTTTCAAATTTAGGTGTCAGATGGGTTCGATTGTTGGTTGTCGGTGGGAGTTTCTTCACCATCAATGGTCTCATCTTCTTAATCTCCTATTGTATTTCTTTAAGAAGCAGGTAAGGCAAATTGGAGGCATTGGTAGAATGATAATCTCTTTAGAGGTTTAGTGATTTCATTACTCCCACACCTTTGAGAAGATAAATTGACAAATGTGGAATTTACATAACCAGGAAGAAACAAACATAGAGATCTCATTGTATTACCAGAATAGTCACCTCAATCTTCTTCAAAGTCTTCTTCCTAACAAAGAAGGACTCCAGTGCCTATTATCTCATTATGAGAAAGAGCTAAGGATGATGGGAACTGAAGGACAACACCTGAAGGGCCAATTTTGTCCCATTTAGGATTTAAACCAGGAGTTTGTTGACTCAAGAGCTAAAGCTGACATTTGCAAAGATTGGCATATTCCAAAAAAGTGAAAAAGGCCAGAGAAGTTTACAAGTGAAAAATTATGAAAAAAATAAATTTGATGGAAATAAACTAAATGTGTTCGCCGAGATGACTTACTCCATCCAGGATAGTCTCCACCATTAGTTGGGGAAGACTTTTAGGAACTATATCCATGATTCTGTATGTGATCCTGAAGTCAGGTAGCCTATCACTGCCTTTAACAATCTAGGACCACAGTATTTTAAGGCCTACTTTTCTTATGAATGAAGGCAAATATACAGGATAATGTTGCAGGATCCAATCTGGGTCAATCAACTGGACATATAGTCTTCCAAACTTTTAGACTCATGCTGGAACCCATCCTCAGGAAATTTATGTCTACCAAATTCTCTGAGGATGGGCTACAGCATGAATCCAAACGCTCAGAAGACTAAAATTGTAGTCCTGGTAACCAACTCAGATTGGATCCTACTTTTCTTCTTTTGGACACCCTGATGTACTTAAGCTAGAAACACGCCCTTAAAAACAATTAGTAAAGATTTTAATTTCTGGCCTTGATAGCATGACAGAGGATGGAACACAGGAACAATGTTTCCATTCGCACAATATCTAAACCCATTCAGCCACTCACTGAGATCTCTATTGTTGGCCCACTGGAAAGACACAATCACAGAAACTGGGTCAAAAAGGTCTAGGCTGCAAAACTCTGAATGGCCTTTGGTGGAACCAAAAAGGCAGAGAAAAATTCTACCTCCTTGATACCATCTCTTGGTTGGCCAGGATTTTGAAGACAAAATATTAGTTTTAATGTGGAGAATACCACATTTATATCCCCAGGGAAGGGCTGATGTTCCATAAACCTTGTGAGAAATTCTTGAAAAGTTTTCATGGCATACTTAGTCTTTCTCTCTCTCCCACCATTGGCCTTAAAGCAGGGGTAGGTGAGCTATTGCAGCCAATCAGCATTTTGGAGGTATATTTTTGTCTTTGGCAGTGAGTTCTCTCATAGTTAGGCCTTGGTTACTCTTTCTCTTCCAAACCTTTTCTTGGATGATTAAGTTCACAACATGAGTCAGTAGTCTGAGTTTTGATATTTTTGCAGTACAGCCTATGGGACACAGTTGTTTAACCGTAGGCATGACCCCAGATGTTACATTGATGTCCCTAATCTAGGCTGTCTAGAAGAGGAGGAAGAGCAGGGCCCCTGTCAACAGTCTGCTTCTTTGAACAAGGTTTAAAATTGGGGGATGTAGGAGATGACCAAGCTGAACCTGAGGGCAGGGTCAAATGCATTATTAATTTGGAGTCTCTACTACTACTACTACTACTACTTGTTGTTGTTGTTGTTGTTGTTGTTGTTGTTATTATTATCATTATTATTATTATTATTATTATTATATTGTGATTAATATGATTGTAAACATTTTGATTATGATTTCCTAAAAATAATTATACCCAGACAACACACTGTTTGATTGAAATTGAATTTTTATGTGTCATATAAATAAAACAAATAAAAAATTTGGGGAAAAAATTCAGACATTTGGCAACAGGCTCATACTTATGATGGTTGCAGTGTCCTTGGGTCATCAGATCACAATTGCGATCTTCTGACAAGCAAAGGCAATGCGGAAGACAGACTCATTTAACAATCGTGTCACTAACTTAACAACTTTGGCAAGAAAGGACATAAAATGAGACAAAACTCACTTAACAAATGACTCACTTAGCAAGAGAAATTTTGGTCTGAGTTATGTTCCTAAGTCAAGGATTACCTGTACTTTTGAACTATATCCTGCCTCCTGACTTCTTGCGGTCTATTAGAGGCCCAGTTTTGAGGGCCTATATAAAACCTTCAGAGATCTTATATCTTGGATATCCACTTGCCAAATAGTGGATAAGCAACAGGAAATGATGGTCCCCTCAAACCTGGCCTGGGAGCTTTCCACAGGCTGATACAAGAATGGCCCAAACCCCTGCCCCAATTTTTCTATTATGTATTGTCAGTATTTGTTTAAACCAGATTTATATCTCCAAAGCATTTCCTGATTGTTATTTTGCTGCCTTAAATGGACTAACTCTAATCTTTGGCTATGGTGTTTTTTTGGTTTTTTAAAATATATTTTTCAGATCTCTTCTTCAGAAGACTGAAGGAACCATCTGACCATAAGCTTCATAAGCTTCTCTTATGCAGTTGAACTGATGGTCTTCATCAGGTGCTTCAGCCGATATATTAGACGCACCCTTAAGCCACCTACAAAATACAATGCCTTTCTCCCTTTAATGAATCTCCCAAATGTGCTATTTCTGCAGCCATGCCTTTTCAGCTGAGATTTTTCTGCAGTTTGGCATTCCTCAAAAACACATGAAAAACCTCAGCAAGAATTTTTGACTTTTGCAAATTGCTGCCACGGTTGCTCTTGCTTCTTCTGCTGCTGTTTTAAATAAACCAGGTATCAATATCTTTCTGTTTGATTTTTTTAAAAAAAGCTTTACTATGGTGAATGTGACAAAAACATAAAATAGCTGATTTGGAAGAATTTCAAAATGAAATGGATGTCAATTTAACTGGAAGTTTTCAAATTATTACTGATCATTTCATAACCAGTTAAAGTTATGACAAACCTCCCAGGGGATACTTACATTTTGAAGTTCTGTTGGTCTCTTCACACCCCTTCAATCACTCCCAGGGGTGAGCTTCAAAAATCATCAGCAACTGATTCTCTGCCTGATTGCTGGGTGGGCGTGGCCATGGTGAGCGAGGCCCAGTCAGCCTATTGCATAAAGGCAGGGGGGCATTTTTGCCCTCCCGGATTCCATATGGGCCCTGAACTTACCTGGCATCTAAACAGGCCCCATGAGGAATCCTGGGAGGGGAGGGGTTGGTGGAGTCAGCCAGGGGTGGAATTTGCTGGTTTGCTGAACTGGCCATAAAACTAGCTAAGGGTTTGCCCAAACCCCTGGTCACACACCCCTCCGCAGATTAATTTTTTTTTTAAATTTTTAATATCAAAAGAGGCAGAATAGAATATTTCCCCAAGGGAGAAATGGAGAAGCATGTTCTTAAAGGCAGAAAGCATCCCCAGTCTTCCTGCCATAGTAAAACAGCCTCAAGCAGAAGGGACTGGCTTTTAGGAATGGAGATTTTGAATCCATTCAGAAAAACAGGGCCAATCTATTCATAAATAAAATGCACAGAAGGCTGGAGCTGATGGGATTAAAAATCTACGTTCCTCCACCCAAATTCTAAGGAAGGGATATGACCTTTAGGGCAGAATAGGATTAACTCGCTACCATTGAAATAGTAAAAAGAACAAGGCTCACTACATTGCACAAGCCCGGAGCATCTCAATCACCCTATAACAATCCATCCACTCACTCAGTCATTTTGTCAGCCATCCCAGAAACATTGCTGCTATCAGTGCAAACCAAATAAACCTTCTTTCCTTACAGTCACCTTCCATTTTATTTCCCGTGCCTTTCTCCCAGATTGGAACTGGACCGACCCACACCAGAATGCTGTGAATGCATGCTGGTTGCCAAGTGCCTAAACTTGGTTGCATGATTGTGGGGATGCTACAAACTGTCATAAATGCAAGGGCCAATTATAAGTCATTTATAACTTTGAACTGCCACTGAATGAATGGTTGTAAGTCAAGGACTACCTGTAGTTTCCAGTTAGATTCACAATAGTGAAAATGTTGTGCACTTCATCTTGGAAAGCTGGCCAATATAGAGCCAATGGACTTGTATATGTTCATTAGGGGGAATTATATGGGGTTTAATATCAAAGTAAAACCAATCTTTTTGCACCCTGTTTTCAAGCAGGAAAACGAATGGCCTTCAAGACTTTTTTTTCAAAGAAAGGAGTAAATCTGATGAGGGACTTCACAGGTCGCTTTTGGGGGGAATGAGGTAGTGACCATTTCTTGCTAGGAATCCCCCTGCATGATGCAAATGCTATGAGGTAGATCAGGGGTCTTCCAACTTGGCCACTTTAAGACTTGTGGATTTCAATTCCCAGAATTCCTCATGCTGGCTGGAGAATTCTGGGAATTCAAGTCCACTAGTCTAAAAGTGGCCAAGTTTGGCGGTCCCTGAAGTAGCTCACCAAAGAGGATGAACTTTTTATTTTATTTTATTCATTTATTTATTTGATTTGTCAATCATGTACAAGATAATAGGTATAAGGATAAACATGAGAAAGAATACAGGAAATAGGTACGAATAAATGGGGACAATAGGACAGGGACAATAAGCATGCCTTTTTGGCAATGCTGTTACAGTGAGCTCTGGTGCTTAGGTTTTTTTGATATAAGAACTCCAAGGTCCTTGACAGAGTGAGGATCATCAACGAGGTCATATCCACCTAGTTTGTATTTGGTGTACTGATTTTTTTTTACCAATGTGTAGGATAGAACATTTATTAGTCCAGATTTGGAATTGCCAATTGTTTGACCATTCAGACACATAATCAAGGTCGCTTTGAAGGACAGTAGCATTGTTGGTGGTGATGAACAGTTTTACATCATCTGCATTTTAATGAGGTGAAGTCTGTTCTGTTTTCACCCTCATAAGTACCATTAAGTTAACATTTTTGTCCCAAAAGCTTTGCAAAACAGAAGCTACTTTAGGAAGGAAAATCGAGTCCTGGTTCCAAGCCAGGAGAACAACACTGGGAAATAATGGAGGCTGATTGGAAAGAAGAACTCTGTTTATGTGGAGGCCAGAAACTTCAGTGACAGAAGCATGTTTCTGGGGTGGCTGACAAAATGGCTGAATGAGTGAATGGATCTTTATAGGGCTCTGGGGATTTGTGTTGGTCCAGGGGGTTGTGCAATGTCTGAGAGCTTTGTGTCTTTTGCTGATTCAATGATAGTGGGTTACTCCTCTTATGTCCTCAAGGTCCTTCTTAATCCCATCAGCTGGAGCTGAAGGTGTTTTGTTTTTGAATAGGCTGCCTCAGTCTTTCTTAATGGGCACAGAATATCCATCTCTAAAGACTTCAGGCATCTGCTGGGCACTATAAGAAAGACTGGGACTGCTTTCTGCCTTTAAGAACACATTTTCTCTAAATCTCCTTTGGGGATATTCTCTCCTACCTCTTTTAATATTAAGAATAAAGAATATTTTAATCTGGGGAGGAGGGGCTTCCTACACTACAGTAGCAGCAAAGGGAAATGAAACACACGTCTGCTTCTGAAACTTGCATCAAATTTAAGCCTTTAAAGTAAGAGTCATCAAACTTTCAACTCACTTATGGCCAGCTCAGACACAAACTTAACCAATATGGTTTTCCCCTTGTAGAATTTGACAGCCCCATATACCTTCTCAATAAAGGACAAAGTGCACTCTACTGTGATCTAAATTTAGAAGAAGAGGAGCAACTTTTTTTTTTTGCACAGAAAATAAAAAGAACCCTTGTGTGTAAAATGTACCCATTGCACAAAATGAAAAAAAAAATTCTTACACATTGCCACTTGGTAAATATGCTGACTGGGGAATTCTGGGAGTTGAAGAGCACACATCTTAAAGTTACTACAGTTGAGAAACATTGGATTAAGCAAACAATGACTTAGCACAGGAATGGGAAGTTATTGGCAGCTAAGGCCTGCATTTGGTGTTTGTGTGAGTGTATGTGTTTGTGTGTTGCTGAGCAGAATGGCAAAATGGGAAACAATTGCTACATCCTCCATGGAAGCAGGGCTGATATATAGGGTCTCTTGTTTGAGCTAGAGGTTGGACTAGAAGACCTCCCAGGTCCCTTCCTGGTCTATTCTGTTCTGATTTATAATATTCCAAAAGAGGGAAGAGTATTCCTATTCTTTATTTTTTTATTGACAAGCCTATTTGTACCTCACATGCCTCCCTTTATCACCAAGCAAATACGAGCAATTTTTCACCAAGCCAATACGTGCAACAGGATTAGTCCAGTTTTTAAGGGGACTTCAGATCTTGAATTGACCCTCAATTATTAGCTTGTCCATTTTGTTTAAACTTTTCCGTGTGTGACAAATCAATCTCTTGATGGCAAACAGACAAATTCATGGCATCTCTTAATAACTATTGGTATTTTTTTTTAATTTGAAAAGGGGGCAAACTTGAAAGAAGCTAATGAGGTGAAAAATGCTTATGCTTATAAATTGCTTCACAACGCAAAATTAAGAACAAAACCAAGAAAAAAGCGTTTATTTTAATAAAAAAAAATCTGCAATGAAATAGTATACCTGAAATTTATTTTAAAAAGACAACTTCATTTCGTATTTTTCACCTAAATGGGAAACACTGTGAATAAAGTGCCTCTACTTGTACATTAAAAGTTCAATGATCCAAATACAAGCAGTCCTTGATTTACAACAGTTTATTTGGCGACAGTTTGAAGTTACAATAGCTTTGTAAAAATGTGTCTTAGGACCCTTTTTTCACACTTACCACCAATGTAAAATCCCCATGTGATCAAAATTCAGATGCTTGGCAACTGACTCATAACTATGATGGTTGCAGTGTCCCGGGGTCGCATGATCCCCTTTTGCGACTTTCTGACAAACAAAGTCAATGAGGAAGCCAGATTCACTTAACAGCCGTATCATTAATTTAACAGCTGCATTTATTCACTTAACAACTGTGGTGATTCCTTAACAATGGTGGCAAGATAGGTCGTAACACAGGGCAAAAGTCACTTAATAAATGTCTCACTTAGCAACAGAAATTTCGGGCTCAGTAAGTCGAGGACAACTTTTAAAGCACAAAAGTGAGGTAAAGAAATCTAAAGGATGGCTTTCTGAAATAAGAGACTCTATTAACAAAGGAGGTATGGCCACTGTATCAATAAGGCAGGGGAGTCAAACTTGATTTCATTGAGAACCACATCAGGGTTGTGCTTGACTTTGGGGGGCAGGGGTGGGCATAGCCAGATTGACATCACTCATGTTGGAGGTGCATAGGGAGATCCAAGTGCTCTGCCAGTGAAAACAGGCTCCCGAGCTCCGTTTTCAGCTGTGAAGGCCTCTTGCAACCCTCTACCAGTGAAAATAGAGCTCGGGAAGGCCCCCTCCCAAGCTCCATTTTTCACTGGCAGGGGCACCGCAGGCCAGTCCTCCACTCATTCCAGGGCGGCCCTGAGGGCCAGATCTAAGCTTCTTGAGTTTGACACCCCTGTTATGAGGAACTTTAAAATAAATAGTGCATCGATTGTGGTATTGATAGTGGCATTGGCAGTGAAATAGTACATAAAAATAGTTCTAGGCTGCATAAATAAGAGTGATAGAATCAAGATCATGTGAAGTGTTAATACCACTTTATAATATCACTATAAGGCCACACTTGGAATCTTGCATTCAGTTTTGGTTGCCATGCTGTAAAAAAAATGTTGAGACTCTAGAAAGAGTATGGAGAAAAGCAATAAAGACAATTAGGGGACTGGAGGCTAAAACATCTAAACAACAGTTACAAGAATTGGCCATGGTTAGTCTAGTGAAGAGAAGCACCAGGAGACACATGATAGCAGTGTTCCGATATCTCAGGGGATGCCATAAAGAAGAGGGAATCAAGCTATTATCCAAAGCACCTGAAGGCAGGACAAGAAGCAATGGGTGGAAACTAATCAAGCAGAAAAGCAACTTAGAACTAAGGAGATATTTCCTGACAGTTAGAATAATTAATCAGTGGAACAACTTGCCTCCAGAAGTTGTAAATACTCCAACACTGGAAGTTTTTAAAAAAGATGTTGGACAACCATTTGTCTGAAGTGGTGTAGGGCTTCCTGCCTAAGCAGGGGGTTGGACTAGAAGACCTCCTAAGGTCCCTTCCAATTCTGTTATTCTATTCTATTCTAAATACTTAATGAAACTCATCCACTGCATTGTGGAAATTGCACAGAGAGGGAAGGATAGATAAATGTTTGCCTGCATGCTTGATGGGGTTTGGCTTTCAGCTTCCCCCAGATAAAGTGCTGTGGTTTAAGTCCCTTCCTTCTGAAGCAAGGCAGGAGGAGATCTCCACAAATGAAGGGATGACACAGGAAGGGATGGTTGACAGCTGAGCAGAAGGCTAAGGCCAAAAGGGAAAGGAAGGAAAATGAAAAGAAAAAGGATACACACATGCTTGCTCAACTTCCAAGTTGGGGCTTGTTGGAGGAAGAAAAGCCAAGGGTGTGGTTTTCTTTCTTCCAGCAAGTCCCAACTTGGAGGCTGCCTGGAGAATCCAGGGGTGTGAGTTCATGCCTGCAAACTGAGACAGCCTCCCTGACACTCCCCTGCTCTTCCATTACTCAATCTCATTCCAGCTTCTAGTCTAGACAAGCAAAGGAAGAGCAGTAAAAGAAGCAATCTTGGTGTGAAAAAGGACTGGTTATGAAGGCATTATTAATCCAGCGAAGGCAGGAGATACTGGCCCATCTGTGACCTGAAGTGAATGGCTATCCCCCCATGTAAGTATTTTTTAACTTTGGGGCATGATTGTAAGTGGCATTTGAGGCCCAGATCAAGCAGAGGTAAAAAGAAGAAAACAGGTAAAGAAGCATTCCCATTGCATGAAATATTTGGGGAACCCTTGAATTATTCTGTTTGGGAATTTGGAAATGAAAGGAATTAGTAGAAATGTATGATAAGAATCCAGGACAATATTTGTTTGCCTGTCTGTCTGCCTAGGCTGCTTTCCAAGGAGTCTCCATTAATAGTAATAGCAACAATGGCGAAGACATGCAAAGCATTAAAGCAAAATTCCACAAGGAGGGTGGGAGGAAAGAGGGAAGGAAAAAAAGAAAGGAGAGAGGAAGAAAAAGAAAAAACAGAAAGAGGGAAGGAAAGAATGAAGGAAGGGGGAGAGAAAGAAAGAAAGAAAGAAAGAAAGAAAGAAAGAAAGAAAGAAAGA